TCGACGAAGACGGACCGAATCCACATTTGCAATCGACCCCAATTCATCCCTCTTCTGTTCCAAGACCTGCTGAGTGAAAGCAAACCATTCGTGAAGGATGGAGGGGGAGGAAGGCGGTGGCCAATTCGCGTGGAGTTTTGTCAACGATTAGCTTCTCTGGTTGTGGTACGGACACGAGTGCAAAAGAATCCGACACGCAGGCCGGTACCGTTTGAGGCTACTCCAACGCTTGCACGGCAACTCTGCCACCAATGGTGGTGGTGGTGGTGTGTCTGAGCGACAGCGTTGACATGTCTGTGCTGAAATGAGCATGCATTGTCGTCGTGTCGTCCGTGTCCTCGAATGAAGGAGGTGGGCAGGACCGCGTCGTGAGTTGACCACACAATGGCAGAGCCAATGTTGGAGCATCATGAAGGTGAGGTCAACCCAATGACCCCTTCTCCTCAGACACGCTGCATTTAAGGCGTGACATCACGGCTCCACCATCAGTCTCACAACTAATACGTCGATGATGGTGAGTGCTTCACTTTCCGCTACCAATTTTGACTCCATTGACTAATGTCGCGACTTTCTCTTGTTTGCACACAGACCACTTCACAACGCACACTCACTGACCTACCGACCATAGTGGCACTACAGATTTGCGAGTATCTCGATGCTGCGGATTTGGTCAACCTGTGCACCACCGTTCCAAGATGGAAGGCGTTTCTCACAAGACGCCGTTTCATCCATGTCATGAAGCAGCATATAAGGCAGTGGACGTGGTTTGACAAGCGTCTTTGTCAGCTGCTCTTGCCACACCCACTCAACGCCTCAATAGAAAATATTTGTGAGGCGATTATGTATCGCAGTGCACTGACAAAATCCTTCCATCGATTCCGCAACAGACTGGCTCTGTATCGGTGGCAACAGCTACAGCTGCAGCACCACCACCACCACCACCACCAGCACCAGAAACAAGATGACGACTTCGTCAACATTGACGTTTATCCCATCCACGTCCGCGATTATCTGCACAACGGGATAGAAAGGATGCACCGTGCAGTTTTGCGCGGTGCATTACCAGCACGATTTCCATTTCATCGAAACTTACATGTTCACTGAGAGCTTGACCACGAATGTAAGTCTGCGAGAATTGCAATGGGCAATCATTTTATAGGTGGCGCATTTACAAGTGAAGCAGACGAACGCCAATGCTCGCAATGCATTACATATCTGGCGAAGCCAACGTGGGTGCCGGATGCTGAT